CTTCTGTTTTATTTCTGCCAGAAGGAACAAATGAACCACTGGATATTTTCTTCAGTAAAGACATACTTGCTGTGTTTGCAATAGAAACAAACCGTTATGCTGAGACAAAGATTAGTGCTGGAACTGGAAACACACAACCCCTAATAAAGTGACAGGGTTTCTTGTACTGTTGTGTCACATGTGTTGTGAAAAAGCTATTTCAGACTACCAGAGTTTATATCCATCTCTCCACTCATCATTTGCTGCCACCATCATGTCACGGGGGCGTTTTCTATATATTGCTGTCAGATAACACATATTTTTCTGTTGCCTTTTTAGCACCATATCTACAGCCACATAATGATGATATAAAAAAGTAAATCTACATTTGTCTTGATATTTGTTATCTATTTAATTTTGTGCAAACAATATCAGATAGGATAAGTGATATTGAACAGTTGTGAAGCTGTGACATTTTTTGGGAGTCTGAATTATTGTCAGATAAAGGATTTTTCAGTTGCCTTTTTTGCACCATATCTACAGCCACATGATGATGATATAAAACAGTAAATCTACATTTGTCTTGATATTTGTTATCTATTTAATTGTGTGCAAACAATATCAGATAGGATAAGTAATATTGAACAGTTGTGAAGCTGTGACATTTTTTGGGAGTCTGAATTATTGTCAGACAAAGGATTTTTCAGTCGCCTTTTTTGCAACAATCTGCAGCCACATGATGATGATGATTATGTCAGACAAAGTAAACCCCATTTTTTGTCTTCACGTTGTTCTCGGTTCAATTTTGTGTGAAAATACAAAATATTATATATGTTAGTTGAAAATTTGTGAAAAAAAATCATCACTATCAGTCTTTATTGTTGTCAGATAAATGATTTTCAGTTGCCTTTTTTGCAACAATCTACAGCCACATGATGATGATGACTATGTCAGAGTAAACCTTATTGTTTTTTTCTTTAAATGTGTTCTTGGTTTAATTTTGTGCAGAAATACAAAATATTATACATTTTGTTAAATATTTTTTTCAAAATAAGACATTTTTATTTGTCTTTATTGTTGTCAGATAAAAGATTTTCCGGTTGCCTTTTTTGCACCAATCTACAGCCACATGATGATGATGCAAAACAAAATAAACAACTTTTTTTTCTTGAAATCTGTTCTTCATTCAGTTTGGTGCAAAAATACAAAATATTGTAAGATTATATCAAATAGTTTTGAAGCTATGGCATTTTTAGTAAACACTAAAATACGTGGTATCTGAGGAAATGCAAGGGTTAATGGGCTTGGTAGTCAGTGGGATAATCACATAATATTCTACAACTGACTAGTAACTAACAGTACCAGCCATGTTTTTTTGTTTTTAAAGCCTAGGCTATGAAAGCGCAGGTAGAGAGAACACAGATGAATATCACATTTTTTTTAGACTTCGTTCCATTCTTTCGTTTTCCCTAGCTCTATCCTTTATTTTCATTTCCCCCATCCGAGATCGGATTGTCACCTTAAAGTTATAGTGAAGTTACACTGCAAGGATAACACTAGCCTGGTGTAATCTGCAGTCCTGTGCATGAGCAGGATTATCATGTTTCTGTATTATGAAGCTTGAATAGACAAAAATCTTCATTGCGCGCTCACACACACACAAATATACTATATATATATATATATATATATATATATATATATATATATATATATATATAAACATGCACCTCTCTGCATAGATCTCTGCCCTTTCCTTGGTTTCTGAATCAGTTCTTTCAATGTTCTATTGGGTCACCATCTTAGATCATTAAACATCAGTTATCTTTTCTGTGACTTTTTTTTTTTTTTTAACTGCTGGTCCCTCCATTATTCTCAAGGTCCTCCAATACCTCACTCCTAGTTCTAGTGATCTGTCTCTTCTTCTTTGTTTCTGATAATACTGTTAGCAATTTCATCTTTATTCTTAAAATTGGGTAGTTCTCAGTCTTTCTAAAATCATTTTAGTGCCTAAAATTCACTGCCCTCTTTCACTTTTAAGTATTTCTTGTGGGTTATGTTCTACATAAATAAACAAAGAGGGAACTCTTGAGACCATATAAATATTATATGTATAATAAACAGACGATGCATTGATCAGCACTAGTAGAAAGAAGTAAAAAGATTGAAGAACACCCTGGACAAAATGAAAATCGAAGGCTATAACTACCGTTCCGGGAATCAAATCTGTCACCTCCAAATGGTGAATGCGCCTCACTGTAGGAACAAGTACACTGTTTATAATATATGTAATATATGAGTTATATTCTGTGTGGCAACATCTGTAGCTTAGGCATTGGGAACACATCATAATTCTAAAATACCCAGTTTGATTCCCACAAAAGGATATTTTGGCAACAGACCATTTTGTGTTGATTTTGACAATGGTATGCATCATTCAGAAAGCAATGGCAAACAACTGAAGATAAAATTCCTTAGTAAAACCAAACAGTCAGAACCTGCATGGGTTGGTTCTAGATTGTCATGTAAAGAATTCACAGCTAATTTTATCTTCTGCATTGTTATTGTTTGTAACATGACAAAAACGTTTAATGCTCTACCCAAAACAAGACAGTCATTGCTGTTTACTCTAGCTGCCCAGTATTTTGTGTAACATGTATCTTATAAACCTTACGTGTACGGCTTTTGCATATTTACATTAAGAGATTCACAGCCATATAATAGAACAGGTTTAACCTATCATTACAGCAGACACTTTTGACATTTTATGAAATTAACTTGTTGTAAGTAAGTCACACGTGCGATAGTGTGCAGTGTCTGATGCTTAACTCTTTCAGGACGGCTTTTTTTTTTTTTAGTTTGGACATTGGATTTTTTTATTATTTTTTTAACTGCAACATGTCAAAGCTAAAAACCTTTCTGAAGAAAAAGTATTGGCTGTATATTGACATATAATACATCAAATTAAAGAGAAATTAATACAGAATGAATCTGAACTAGTTAAGAATCAGTATTGCAATAACACAATTTTAAAATAACTAATTCTAGTTTTCATAACAGTTTCATAGTTTCATACAAGTTAATTTCTCTAGCAAGCAAAACAATATTAGATTGTCTATGTCTGCAGACTGCAGCTACTGAATCAGCAATATGCCTAAACATGATTGATGTGTCTGAAAAGAGTTACAATATAAGACCTCATTTTGTGCATAACATTCATACAAATAGTTGATGGAGCAGTAATGGCAGTTTTCCAGTGGCTGGAGAATACAGCTTGACATTTTGTAATTGTAATAGACTCACAGAGCGTGTTTTGGAAAATAGATACTGACATCCTATCTGTAGAGTGGCTTGCTAGAACATTTGGGTTTCTAGGGGTAATGATCAGGCTGATAGATTGTCTGCTGCCATTTCTTTGGGTGGTTAACTGCTTTAGAATATGGTGGATATGGTGAAGGGTCTCTAGGATCAAGTGAGCAGTTCCCTATGTGGATTCAGGAGCCACATTGGAAGGGGGGGGGGGGGGTATGAAAAGACCCACTGTCCCCTCCAATAGGGGTATGGTAAAAGGTAATAGGGGTGTTTCCTTCTGTCAGAGTGCATCAATCTGAGAGGCAAGGAATCAACAGTATGCATACAAATAAGTACATCTTTTAAATGGATGTGCACTCATAACTCAAATTTTGGAACAAGACCAAACTCTAGAAGTAGATGAACAGCCAGAATTTTATAACGAAATGTAGAGGCAGTGAACTCGAACAAACGAACAAACTTTATTTTCAAAGGGTCACAAATTGGGCACGCAGGCCCGTCTTACATTCGGCCCTTCCAGTCAACCATCTTTCGCACAGCAGTTGTATTTTACAAATAAAGCATGATATGATGATATGCATATTATGAATATTATAAAAGAACACAAAAGCATGAGTTGTAAAGTGCATGCAAAAACCTGCGCATGCATACATACACCCACATACACACGCTCACCCACTCACTTACACACACATACATACATGCATATATTACATACATACAGGCATACATACATACACACATACATACAAACATGCATACACACAGGCATACATACATACACACATACATACATAGATACAAACATACAGGCATACATACATACATACATTCATACATACATACGTAATACAGGCATACACACATACAAACATACAGTCATAAATACAATCATGCATGGAGACACACACATGCACACACGGACACTCCCACAGAGACACACACACTCACTTAGACAAAAATACAGACACTTACATATAAACACACACAGGGAAACATACAACACACATATTTACATTCGTGCTCACACACTGACACACACATACACAGACAAACATGCAGATACATACATACAGCCACATAGACACACACGCAGTCAAACACACACACACACACACACACAAATACAGACAAACACATACTGACACAGACAAACACACAGAAATGCATACACATACAAACACATAGAAATACACACGCAGACACATATATTCAGCACGCACAGACATATACTCTGACATGCAGACACATACACACAACAAAGGGGCCCACACAATACACACAGAGAAACACACATAGACATAGACAGACAGACACCCACACACAGAGATACATACATACAGCCTCATAGACACACCCGCAGACAAAACACATAAACATACACAGGCAAACATGCAGACAAACACTGAAGAAGAAGAAGTGGACATTGCAACAGAACTGAGTATCCATACCCAGAAAGATTGTTTCAGTAGACGGTGAGCAGTCTGAATAACATTCAGTGCACAAGGAAAACAACAAGCATACTTTTTCTTCAGGGTGCAACTGACAGCATTCGCATGGGAACTCTTTATTGGCTACTGAGAAGGGGGATAAAGCAGATGTGGGGATTTCCCAAGTGATAGAATATCATTTCTGGATTGATTAGTTGATTCATTGATTTATTTGTTTATTCATTATCTCTTAAACTGCTGTGTTTTATTGAAACAGAGCCAATAGTCCCAATACATAAGAAGATAACTGACGTGGGACAGTTTTCCTATGCTGCTTTATGTGCAACAACTCTTCACACGTTGTTTGATACAGAATATGACAAGTAGGTGCTTTGCTTCTTCATCTTCATGTTGTTGTCAGTAGCAGAAAAATCTAAAATAAAATTTGATTTAGAACAAAATTTAAAATTAAAGAATCATCAATGTGCACATTGGGACTGGCACCCGAGACAACATATCACATCTTTCAAGACTGTCCCAAATACAACATATCACATCTTTCAAGACTGTCCCAAATACAACATATCAAGGCAAAACTTTTGGCAAAGAAATACATCGGTGCAAGCCAAACTTTACGGGTCGCTGAGTGAATTACAAAAGACAGGGAATTTCATACTACAGATAACATTGCAGATATAGATAATCTGTTTTACAAGCAAACGGAAGAAGAAGAAGTATCAGCAAAATGTCAGTTTACTTAATGCTGGGAAAGGTGGGAGTAGAAGGCAATGGTTGTGGCGCTTACCTGCTGAGACAGTGGTCTGGAATCAATCTTTAGAATCCCCATGTGGGGGGAAAAATCGATCCACAGCCCTCCAACGAGCATGTTGTAAATGGAGACTAATCAGGGTTGTTTTACTTCAAGGTCAGAGCGCATCTACCTGAGAGGTGAAGAACCAACGGTCTGTACACAAATAAGTCAGGTCTGTAAAACAGATATGCACACAAACTCAAGTTCTGAAACAAGTCCAAAGTTCAGATCTGGACAAACAAGCAGGACTTTCTGTTAGAGTTTACAGCCAGTGAATACTAAGAAGTCCTCAGAAGTGGTTTTCTGACTAGCACAGCTCTGGCCCTCAACCAACTCAAGCCATTGTATCCTTTGCTATCACATGCATTTGGTTGGTTCAGTTGATTGAGGGCCTAATCTCCATTGGGGGATAAAAGCAGAAAAAGAAATGGTTCTGTCTCACCAAGCCTCATAACAGTGGATGCCAATAATCTCAATAATTTTCTATGAAATGTTTGGGAAGAAAAGGAAACGTGGAGGAGAACTGACCACTTCACCTCATATGTCATAAAGCAGTCTTCTTCTTATTCTACTTGGCAACAGTTTTCACATAAGACCAAAGGTTGCTGTAGAGTCTGTGGTGCAATACATGTCCTCCAATGATCCATACAGGTTAGTCACCAGCAGAATGCTAATTAGCCAGACATGGGATCTTTGTGAAAACGAGTACTGAAATGTTACATCAAGCCTGTTTCTTTGTGAAAACGAGTACTGAAATATTACATCAAGCCTGTTCTGTTGTATGGTAGTTAATCTTGGAATGTTAGCAGACATATTGAGAAGACTTTGGAGGCTACTGAGATGTGGTTCTTGAGAAGAATGTTCCAGATACCTTGGACTGCGAAAATTAACAATGATTGTCAGGAAATAGATATTGAAAGTAGAATACAGACAGCAATAAGAAGGAGGTAAACATAGTTCTTTGGTCATGTGATGACAAAAAGAGCACTGGAAAGATAATAGGAGAGGTAGACCAAGAGAAATGATGGTGGATGGCTTAAGACAGTGGCATAGAGAAATATCATCAGTGGAATTGATCCAGAACACCAAGAACCGAGATCTGTGGAGATGCATGAAAGCCTACGCCTACTGGCAAGGCACTTCTGCATGTAGAGAGCATGTCTGGCACACATGTTAACAAACTGTGCAGCAGTGATAGTCAGCACAGTCATGACACCTGTAACTTAAGCCATGTGCATTGAAAAGCCATTTATAAAATGATTTGAACTATCTAAATTTCATAAACTACTTGATGAACCTAAAATCTACTTACTTTTTTTTCCTCTTGCAGCAAATTTAAAGAAGAAGCCCTGGCTGTTATTCTGATTTCACTGGAACAGCCTCAGCAGGTAGGAGGTCTTCTTCTTCTTAGGGTTTACTAGCTGTTAACTTACCCACTTATGGACTTTGATCCATTTCCAGAACTTGAGTTTTGCATGCACATCCGTTTTACAGATCTTGCCTATTTGTCTGCAGACTGTTGATTCCTTACCTCTCAGGCAGATGCACTCCGGCCGACTTAGAAAAAAACACTCTTAATTGGTCACTTCCTACGACATGCTTGTTAAGGGAGCAGTGAGTTTATCTTTTTCCCCTACAACAAGCAACTCCACTTTGATCTGTAAAACGGATATGCAGGCAATACTCATTTTCTGAAATAAGATTTAAAGACTAAAAGTCCAGAAGTGCATGAACCACCAGAACTTTTCACCAGAATGTACAGCCGATAAACACGAAGAAGAAGCAGAAGAAAAAGCTAAGGTAACTGGAGGAAGAGAAAAAGAATTAAAAGCATGTAAATAATATCATCATCATGTAGCAGGTCCTATGCAGAATGTCGCTCTCATCGTGGTCTGCCCAGTCTCTCTTCAGCTCTCCCATCTTGTGTACTTTATATTCAAGAAGTCACTTATATCCTGTGCCCATCTTTATGTTGGTTGGCCCCTGCCCCTCCTTTCTGGGACCATGCCTTCTGTTTAATGTAATAAATGTAATAAGTACTAACTGATCAACAGGTTTGTGAGTCGGTGCGAGCGATGCTACAAGGTCAAGGCCAGGATGATGTAGATCCTTACATCGACATACTGCTCGCTGAGGATGTCCTGAAGGAAGGTGCAGAGCCTATTGTTTCTCAGTTGCTGGCAATTGCTATTGGGCAAGGTACTTTTCAACTTTGTAGTTCATTCAGTCAGCTGATTGATCAGGTGCTGTCTTCACAATGAAGGCTGGCTGCAATGCATGTCTATACTTTCTGTCTGTCTCTCTCACATGGCCTTTTGTTCTACCTTTCTCTTGATATACTTATACTTCTACCGTTGTCTACTTTTTGCTCACCTGCCTTTAGTGTTCTCCTCTAGTATATTCTTTTTGTAAGACTGTCTTCCCTGATTATATGTACAACATATATATCTATCCTTGGTAGCAAGAGTTACCTCTATCGCTGCCTAACTTTATTCATCCCAGTTGCTCAGATTGGCCTGCAGTTTCTTCTACAATGGTCATCTGTGTTCTCTGTCATGTACTGAACATGCCTCATATATGTCTCATACTTAACAATTGTTTACAAGCTATTGCTCTGTATAGATTTGTGTGTGTGTCCTTAGCACACAAGTTAACTGCAGAAACGACATTGCTATCTAATGTTTAGAACAGTCTTTCCCATTTGGCAGGTGGTCCCATGGGGATTCCCAGAACAGAATTATGGGGCCTCTGATATCGTGTAACACACACACACACACACAAATATTCTCAGCTCAGCAATCCTTTTTGCGATTCTAACGTTTATAAATCACTAGCTGTACCCGGCCACGCGTTGCTGTGGCATAGTTTGGCTAAATGGAAATGAAAGAAAATAGAAATCATTATCTGCTCAGATATAGAGATAGTCTTTGATCCCCGCCCCCCACCACCACAACTAAATCCACCTACTACTCTCTCCCTCATCAAAGGTTTTTGGAAAAGAAAGACAATGGAAATCGCAAGTGTCTAATATAGTTAATGTCGCAATCATTCTCTGCACAGATATAGAGATAGTCTGGTTTTCCAACTTTAGAACACGCACCTTATAATTGTGTCTTTATATTAGTGGTCGTTTAAATGGTGTTATTAGCACAGAAACAAAAATGGTTATTTGGTTATCACATGCTAAAGCTGTTTGTATTTTTATAGGAGACGGAAGTAAAGCTACAACTGTACTTGTAAATAACAAAGTAAGTCGTAAAAAATAGACAAGAGGAGGTAGCGTTAGTAAAATATAAACAAATTAGGTAATGAGAACTTGAAAATCACGTATAGAGCTCTTTAAGTTCTCTTAAATTTAAGTCATTACCCCCTCCCCTCCCCTCTTCCACTGACTACTGCTCTCTCCCTCTTCGAAGGATTTGAAAATCATTACCTGGCGATATTTTGTTGTTGCTGTAACTGACATTGACATCCTTGTCCATCCGAACTAAAATGGGGAGCAGGAATTGTAATAGGTAGTGAATGGGGCTAGTGTAATATTTACCACATCAAATTTCAAGTACCAGTACAACTACTACCACGACCACCACCACAGTAGCTAAAATAATATCACTGCTATCTGTGTTACCATCGGAGTAGACAGAGAGTCGTGAGCCAGAAGATTTGGTTCCACATGGCTAGTGTTGTCGCCACAGACCGGTCAGGTTAGGATGTATAATTTCACTTCCTGACAGAAGATTGCCATAACCTTACCGGCGGTCTTCACATGAGAGCACTACGGTGTAACAGACCAACCACAACTACTACTTCTGCTGCTACTTTAAGTGGGTAAAGCAGTCACTGTGACTTAAAGCTCTCTCAATTAACAGTTTGTTACCCCCCCCCCCCTCCCCCCAAATTCACCGACAACTCTTTCCCTCATTGAAGTAGTTGGAAGAAAAAAAACACACTTGAAAAGCAAATGAAAACAGGAAAACACACCATAATTAGGAAATGAACGCTATGGTAAACAGCACAGCTTAAAATTCCAACGCAGATGAAATAACTAAATCTAAATGAAAATAAATGGAAAGCTATGAAATTTCAGCGTAACCATGCAATCGGAAAGTTTAAAAATGCAATCATAAGTATGCGAAATAGTCAAATGTAATTATCAAATGGTTTACCCATTTACTTATCTTTTTTTTTTTAGTATTAAGGGCAACATGGCTAGTGCTGTCACCACGACAGAACAGATGAGGATATTATTTTGTTCCGGGGTTAAAAAAAATATAACTATATCGGATTCGAATCCTGGTCTCCCGCACAGGAACCCAGTGTTCTAACCATTCGACCAAGCAGCCACTGCATCAGAGCAACGAAAAGAGAACTAAACTATTAGAGATGTGTGTCCCTACTACTGTGTCCCGATTATAACACAACTCAAAACCGCAGGCAATTGTTTTCTCATAGACAGATACTCCAGATATATTAATGAAACGGCACAACAATAGAAATCGCATGTGTCTAACACGGTTAATGAAGTTAATGTTGCAGTCAATGTCTGCGCCGACGTCGAGATAGTCCTTGATGCTCCCCCATCGAAGGTTGTTTGAAAAAAAAACAGAAAATAGAAATCGTGTTTAATATGGTTATTGTGGCAATCACTGCCTACACAAATATAGAGATAGTCTTGTTTGCTGTACCACGACCTACTCTATGTATTAGAGAAGGCGTTGGCTGCACGTAACTCGCCGGTGAATGGTGGAAGTCTTGCGTTCTGACTACGGCGCATGTGCAATTACTAATGTGGCTATAATTAGATGTCACTAACAATTTAAATATTAGTTTCGAATATTTTTGCCTCAATTGTCGCAAACTATCTCTAACAATGACAGGTTAAAATTCAAACCATAGTGGGTGAACATCCGGTATCAAAACAAACATATCCTGAAAATTTCAGCTAAATCGGTTCAGTAGTTTCCGAGTCTATAGCTCATAAACAAACACACAAACATTGATTTTTATATATATAGATAATACATTCTTCATTTGACTTTTAAATAGTGTGGTGACCCTAGCAAACAGTTAAAACAAAAGCTGTTGTCTATCAGGCTTATGTTCTCAGTACACTACTTAATGGCAGTGAAACGTGGCCAGCTTATTCGAACCATGAAGAACAGCTGAAAAGCGATGTCTAAGAAGAGTACTTGGTATTAAGTGTCAGGACAGGATCACAAACACATGAGGCATTGAAAAAAGCAGGTATTACAGCAGTTTTCTTATGCTCAATCTATGAAGGCTCAGGTGGCTTGATCACATATGAAGGATGGTAGAGTCCCTAAAGACTCTATGGTGAATTAAAGATGGGTAGATGTTGAGGCCAGCGTCTACTACGATATAGAGATGTGTGCAAATGGGAAATGATAATACAGGTATTGAGGTGGACTCGTAACAAAACGCCATGGACTGTGTTGTGTGGAAGGGACACATGAGGAAGGGAAGCAGAATGAAGAAAGAAATGATTGCAGAAAGGATGAAAGCTGAGCGTCTGAAAAGAAACGGATTGAACACAAATGTTGACAACAATGGTCTTGTAATCTTATGCTGTAATTGTGGAAGACTTTTTCTTAACTTGGACGGGTCTTACTAGTCACACTCGCCATCGCCATGGGCTGAGAGTCCCATGCCTCCTCATTACGCAATATAACACTATCATCTGGAAAGACGGAAAGAATCCAAAGAAAAAATGTCCAACCTTTGAAAGTAAGAGAAGTCCTCAGGTCTTAGCTAATTGTGAATTATTGGTTTAGAAATATCACGCTAAAAATCACTTTGGAAGAGCTGTGCGTCACCGTTTTGTGTAGATTTGCAAAGTTGAATAGAGGACTCTGTTTGAAAACAGAGAGCCTCACCTATAGCGTCACAGCAGCCAGTATGAGAATGGAGGTAGAGGTCGTAACAGCAGCTTACCTGTGCCTTGAGGGCAGCACAGCCAACATGTGATCATTGTAACGGACTCACCGAGCATGCTTCTGAAAATAGAAACTGGGGTCCTGCGCATAAAGGGGCTTGCTTCGCTTGATAAGACTCTGTCCAGGAGATTCGGTTGTGTGGGTAATGAGCAAGCTGATAGATTGGCTGCTGCTGCTCCTCTGAGCGGTGAGCTTTGTTATGATAAAGTGGATGTGGTGAAGGCTCTCTGGGATCAAGTGGACAGTGCAACAGAACCGACCCAGTATCCATACATTAATAGACTTAATTCAGCGAAGGGTGGGAAGGGGTTCTGGAAGATATTCGACACAGCGGGAAAAGTATAGGCGGACTTTTAATCAGGTTGCAACTGGTACAATTAGCATGTCAACTCTTCGTTGGCTTTTTGAGAAGAAGGTGGTGCACATGGGTGAATGTCTCAAGTGCAGATGTGTCAGTTCTTGATTTATTCATTCATTCGTAGATTTTAATGCTGGACAGAAAAAAAACTAGAAAACTTGGTGACAGTTGATAAACTTGTCGTTAAAGCGCTAGGCAAAGATAAACAGGGATGTCTATGCTGCTTGTGTGTGATGGTGACCCATACAGCTAGCACTAATAAATAGGTGATCCTTAATGCAACAAAGCCTGGCATATGATATCACAGCATCTAGCTTGAGAGTGGAGGTGGAGGCAGTCAAGGCAGCTCTCTGCTGGCTTGAGAACCAGCTGCACACACGTCATGATTGTAAAGGATTCACGAAGCATGTTGAGAAGGGTGGAGAAAGGTATGCTACATGCTGAGTTGCAAGCATCACTTCATGGGCCTAGGGCAGTTAGTATCCTTTTGATATTATTTACAGGGCAAACATGTGTATTGGGAAATGAACATGCAGACATATTGACTTGTGGCATATTGATGCTTGACAGCTAAATATTAATATGGTCAAGGGAGTGAATCATGTGGAAGCAAACGGTAGATCCTCACAGTCTAGACAGAATGATGCTTCAGAGTGACGAGGGAATCCAATAGACACTTAACACTCTAAGGAAAGGCAAGATGAATATGCAGTCAGGCTTCAACTGGGACCTTCACAATCAGAACTATGAGCTGGCTGCTGAGATGACAGAATGTCTATCTCGACTGCTGTAATGTCTGTTCTAAATTCACCTCAGCCATGTGATTTTCAGCATAGCTTGAGTTAACCAGTGTTGAATGCTCAGCATTGAAATATGAAATGATGGGGGGGGGGGGGGGGGAGACTTAGGCCAGTGTATCATACACTAATAGGTTTTAAAATGTTTCAATATGAAGTGATGATCTTTTAGTCTTCACTGATCTGGAACAAGTATGGAATTTTCTCCACAGTTAGCTTAATTTGAAAGGATTCTGCTTTGTGAAAAGGCCCACAGACATAAAAACAGATTAACATAATAAAACTTGCGTGTGCACTGGCTTGTGAAAATGTTCAGGCATGAATAATAATATATGTCTTACTAGCATGTGTGTGACTCATTATTCTTATTATAGCAGGGGGAGTCGGAAAGGGGGGGGGGGGGAATACACGTTAGAAGACTTGCTTACTAATATAGAGTAATAGATCCAGTCTTTTGTGGTGATTTTATTTCTGTTTCTAAGCAGTGTGGCTTTGGGGTGGCTCAGCAGTGTAGCTGTATGCTGGCCTAGCCTCGTGTACTTGTCTAGAGGATCCTTGTTGTACCAGTGGCAGATCATGCATAACATTTTTATAGGCTAATCATTATTTGGTTGATGATGTAGTCAGCATCACTCTGACTGCTTTACTTCCCAGGAAATTGCTTGATACATATTTTAGGCAGGGTCAACCTTAAACCAAGGTCAGTTTTTGGAGAGAGAAAAAACATTCAGCTTGATGCCATTTCGAACCACATACCTTTGTGATGGCAGGCGAGAGCCCACAGTTGCCTGTGTATACATGGCCGCTGGACCACTTTGAGAATTTTCTAGGATAGAATAGCAGCAATAAAAATAGCCGGTTGCTCCGTCTATAAAACTCAGTATATGTGAAACCCCAGCACTTACGCTTCTACTTGTGAGTCTTCTGTGGAGCTGAGCCCTTGTTTATCTGTGTTAAATTAAGAATCATCACCACAGCACTTGGGACACTCTCATAAGCACTCTATTCCCATCTTCAGCAGCAGGTGAAGAGTTCCAGTTCTGATGGTACCAGTAACTGTCTGTACATCCATCTCACCTTTCTTTTAAATGTTGAGCATTGGCCAGATTCCTGGTAACTCCCTGCAGCACCATTCTACTCAGACCACAATAATCTATCTGTGCCTCCTCACTGTACAATTACTCCCATACATATATACACACACACACTAATACACACGTATACATACATACGTATATTCATACATACATATATTCATACATACATACATACATACATACATACATACATACATACATACATACATACATACATACATACATACATACATACATACATACATACATACATACATACATACATACATACATACATACATACATACATACATACATACATTCATTCATAGACACACATACATGCAATATATATATTCATACATACACAAACTCATACATACACATACTCATACATACATACATACATACACATGCATACATACTCACAGACATGCATACATACACACACGCACGCGCACACACACTGTAATTATAAGGATAGCTGTTGTTTCCTCCCACCATATTGGAGTTCTAGTTAAATACATTGTTACTTCTAATTGTAGTTGATCTAGTATAGGATCCATATGGCCTTCTTATACTGCACTGCTATATGCCTAAACTGTTTTCCATTTACAGGCAGTTATGATGCCAGAATGCGGGTATTCATCAAACAGTTAGCTTGGAGACTAAAGGTGGACTGGGAGGTAGTGATTGAGCTGGAGACAAGCTTGGCAGAAACGCTGACTCTGTCCCAGTATGAGATGTCAGAGTAAGTAGCACTACAGTTGACTTTTCTGATAATTGCCTTGTGCCATGCATATGGTCATCTTCTTCTAAAAATATTTGTAGAGTTTATTCTAGATAAGTTTAAGCAACGATCATCTTCCTTGCCACTTATTGAACCATCCAGCAATTTCTTAATCTGCTAGCCTTTGTCACTAATGCCCTTGAGGTACCAGTTGCCATACACCTTTGTATAATTATTGGAAAAACAACCCTGTACAGTTAGAAATACCAGACTCCCATCAAGCCCTCAAATGGACACCAGAAGGGAACAGAAAACGGGGAAGTCTAAGAGAGACGCTGCATAGAACCATCATCATAAATGGCTCAGCCATGGGCCTAATGAACATCCAAGAACTAAAACAAGTAGCAGTGGACCACCAGACAGGGAGAGCTATGATCTCGGCCCTGTGCATTGCCTTAGGCTTAACAGGAAAACTAACAGAATAAAATAGCAACCTACTCCTTACTTTATTCCCTTTCTATGCTTCTGGCTGCTAGTTTAGGTTTGACCACCCTTGAGGTTATAAAAATCTCAATCTGGATGTCAAACCAGCTGGATAAACCCAAGGTACCCATTTCTGCCTCCAAAAATATCATCATTGGGGCAGCACAATGGCTTCAGGAGCAGTGTGGTGTCGGTAAGGATTTGTACCAGAATATGGTAGGAAGGTAATTGTTTCCTTCAGGAGCAGTGTGGTGTCGGTAAGGATTTGTACCAGAATATGGTAGGAAGGTAATTGTTTCCTTCAGGAGCAGTGTGGTGTCGGTAAGGATTTGTACCAGAATATGGTAGGAAGGTAATTGTTTCCTTCAGGAGCAGTGTGGTGTCGGTAAGGATTTGTACCAGAATATGGTAGGAAGGTAATTGTTTCCTTCAGGAGCAGTGTGGTGTCGGTAAGGATTTGTACCAGAATATGGTAGGAAGGTAATTGTTTCCTTCAGGATTGCATTCTGTACGATTAACACCTCAAGGGTGAGAATTAGACAGGTATAAATCCTGGAAACCCTGTTCAGCCATATAAAACAGTTAAATAGGGCATGGAAATGAGGTGTCTGGGAAAGACTGTAGGAGTGACCAGAAGAGATACAATCAGGAATGAGGTCATACCAGATAAAGTCAGTACAGAACCAATTTTAAATTACATACAAAGACAGCAAATAAAATAGTTTACCCACTTGAAGAGAATGTTTTCTAATGCTCTACCATACAAGGCATATATTAAAAGAGGTGAAGGACATAAAGTAAGAGGTAGACCAAGAAAAATGGGAAGATAACATCAAAGAAACTCTACAGCAGCACAGTGTGTCTGTGGTCAAAGCAGCCAGAACAGGACCTTATATCTTTCTTGATACCCGAAGCTATAAAAGAGAGTGTAAAGAAGAAGAGGGCAGTAGGCGGTTATAAGGAACCTGAAGTTCGGATCGGCCTGAGATAGGACCAAAATACGAATAGCTGCTGATGTAATATAAATTGATTATGTTTCTAACTAGATAACCACAGTATCACAAATGCTTGTGTATGGATGTCACATGTATTGTATTGTATTGTCAAATAGTGAACACATCTGCAGGCTTTATGCTATATTATCAGTGTCATATTATTAATTCCTAGACTCTGAACTGTTTTAACATAAACTTTTGACTATAGTAAATTTATTTCTGGAAAATAAATGCAATAATATTCCCTTGTCTTCCACAACCTGTTTAAGAAATTTGCAAGCTGTTATCAGCATTCATGTGTTCATGTAATAGCTCTAATTATAAAACATTAATTTACGGTAAAAGATGTTTTTAATTTCTGTTTTGATTGACTTTTTTTTTCTTTCAATGCCTGCAGCCATTTAAACTTCAATTTTAATCTGCTTTTCTAAAATTCAAATTTACCTCTCCCTTTTGATTTTTGTTTTTGTTTATTTGAAAAGTATACTTTTTTATAAATAAACTGACACTTCTTCAGCATTTGCTCTTAAAAGGGCTGTCGGTGCATTGTGGTTTAAAGCTAGGCTGCAGTATCTAGGTTTTTCTGTCCAGCACATCTTATTTCAGCAAACCCTTATTAGTAGCCCTTGCAGACATGCTTATTGAATGACAGCATTGAAGTTTTAACAATAATGGTAACCTATATCAATGGAATAAAGAACATTGCTAAAGAAATGATACCGTTGGAAGTGCTTGACTCAGTGAGGAAATCCTTGATTTATGAGGGTTCTGCTTCCATGACGGGCTGTTTAGAAAAGCAGTGTCTCATGGCTTTAAGACAGTGATATGGTAGTCACAGATTGGGGGCCTCTCATTACCAAAGACAGCAGTGGATGTACATTTCATTGCATCATCATCAAGTATCTTGCCAGCTGGCATAGGCATTAGTGCAACTCCATAGATATCGGTCTTTGGTGTTCTGGATCAATTTAACTCATGACAATCCTCCATGCCAGTGTCTTAAGTCATCCAGCATCAATTCTCTTGGTCTGCCTCTGCCTTTTTTACCAGTGATCTTTCCAGTCATCACAGTATTTTCCAGTGCTCGTTTTCTCATCACGTGACCAAAGAAGTTTGCTTGTCTCCTTCTCAATGTTGTATGCAATATTCTACTTTCATTAGCCATTTCCAGGCAACAATTGTTAGTTATTCTGGCCGTCCAAGGTATTCCCAACATTCTTCTCAAGAACCACCTCTCACTTGCCTCCAATCTCTTCTTAATATCATTTGCAGCGCATATGTATGCGTGTGTGTGTGCACTGATAGGCACATGCATGGTTTAAAATTTTTTGTTTAAAGTAATGAAGACCATGTTAAATATTCTCTTATGACCAAACAAACATCAATTCTGACCTCATGTTGCTACAGTGTGCTTGTTTTTTGTTGCATGGTTTCCTGAGGTAGTATTTTACTGATGTAATTATGTATAATCATGCATCCTTTCACCGCTTCTGTGTTCACCTCATGCCTTCAGAGGAAAGAGGTAACTGTATTATATAATTGATTGTTAAAATAGCAAATGTAATTGATTGTTAATATAGCAGTTATGTTTCTTTCCATTGTTTGTCATTTATTTCCTAGTTTGTCTATTTCCCAGTTTTGTTAGTCTTTTGTTCGCTTGAATTTTTAGAATAATATTGAGAATATCATATATGGTGGACACAACATATTCTTATATACTGAGAGCCGTGATGTTCAGTGATAGATTCTCACCCACATTCAGTTGCAGTTAAATCATAGCCATACAGTGCCAAATATAACTGTTTTATAGGGTTAAGTGACATGTAAGGCACATGCTTCTGTTTGAGTCTTTGGGTACTAGTCTTCCAGAATTGAGTGCCACAAAAAGGGCTATGACTCCCGTGGAATTCCAGATAACAAATTCTTTAAGAAAAAGAAACTAACAGTTTGACACAAATGACTAAAAAATTGGGGGGGGGGGGGGTGGATATTTATCTGCATTTTGTAAACAATTTTAAATTGTGTGTAGGCAAAATGTATGCAGATATGTAAAGAGAGTAATCAATAAACACCAGAGAGGCAAGGAACCAACATTCTGCATACAAATATCAGGAGCCTCTTTTGGTAGTAGTGAAAAGTTGCAAGCTAGCTTGATTTAGGCACATGGTAACACATGATTTGATTACAAAGACTGTACTTCAAAGAACAATTGGGGTAGTCATAGAAGATAAGGGCAAAGAAGATTTTGGAATAACAACATCAAGAAATTAGCATAAAGGCTGGATGGTTGGTGCATTCGCAATGGACGGTGCAGGTTCAAATTTTGTTGGCCCCTACAGAAAAAAATCCTAAACCTTACAGAGGATTAGAACCCGGGTCTCCCGCATGAAAGCCTAATATTCTTAACTGTTCTATCAAAGTATCAGTAGAAAAAGTTGGTTGTGATTGCCAATATCTGACACGACAAATGTGCAGGGTACATTTCTGAAAGCTTGAAAGTCATTGGATATCATGCTGCAGCAGTGGATTATGGGTAGCTCTGACACCACCAAAATAAATATCCTCTGACAAGGATTTATCTTTTTGTGCCTCATTTAGAACGCAGTATTTTTGGGATTATAGTATTTCTAAATTTAAGTTTTTCAGTTTGACTATTAAAAATATGGAATCTGTGGCAGACCTTACAAAATAATAAGGATTCTTGATGTTTAATTTGTTGGATCTCATGAAGAAATGTGATCTTAGATTTTGAATTGTTGTTGAATGTTTTGATTTACCTGATAGATGTTTTGAATGTTTTGATTTACCAGATAGATGTTTTGAATGTTTTGATTTACCTGATAGATGTTTTGAATGTTTTGATTTACCTGATAGATGTTTTGATTTACCTGATAGATGTTTTGATTTACCTGATAGATGTTTTGAATGTTTTGATTTACCTGATAGATGTTTTGAATGTTTTGATTTACCTGATAGATGTTTTGATTGTTTTGATTTACCTGATAGATGTTTTGATTTACCTGATAGATGTGTTGAATGTTTTGATTTACCTGATAGATGTTTTGAATGTTTTGATTTACCTGATAGATGTTTTGATTTACCTGATAGATGTGTTGAATGTTTTGATTTACCTGATAGATGTTTTGATTTACCTGATAGATGTGTTGAATGTTTTGATTTACCTGATAGATGTGTTGAATGTTTTGATTTACCTGATAGATGTTTTGAATGTTTTGATTTACCTGATAGATGTTTTGAATGTTTTGATTTACCTGATAGATGTTTTGATTTACCTGATAGATGTTTTAAATGTTTTGATTTTTCTGATAGATGTTTTGATTTACCTGATGTTTTTGTATGTGTTGCTATTTAATACTTGACAGAAGACTTGTACATTATTATTATTTAATACTTGATGATAGCTGTTAGTGAGTGTTATTATCATTTATACTTGATATGTTTGGTATGATTTATTTATTATTGAGTACTTGATAGATGTTCTGTGTGTTATCTAATACTTGATACATTTTTTGTATGTGTCAT